GGAAGAGACTGAAGTAATATAGCTATAAGCCAAGGATTAGCGAGGATTGCAGGCAAGCCACTGGGAAATTGGAAGGAAAGAGTCTCTCCTATAGGCTTCAGAGGGAGCATGGCCTTGTCCACACTGTGATTTTGGACATCTGGCCTCCAGAACTGTGAGACAATAAACTTCTGTTGTTTTAAGCCACCCAGTTAGTGATATTTTGTAACAATAGCCCTAAAAACCAATAAACCTATCACAATCATAATCACAATCATATAAGTGTATTATACGTGCCTAATGTGCATAAACTTTCTTGACTTCAGAGTGTTTTTACAATTATTAGCCAGTATGTTACAACTATGTATCCTGTATTATCTTCACAACAACTCAGGGGAGTATTATTGTCTCAGTGTGTCAATTAAGAAATTGAGGATCAAAGAAATTATAAAAGAAGTGGTCTTACTATGCTTCTACTCCAAAGACTTTTTCCTTTGGAAACTGCTACCACCTTCTTTACTTGGTTGTGAGAAAGCCAAATTTGTTTCCTCTTCTTGGCTGATGTATATAGGACTACACCACAGGCACTACTCTATACAATCTTCCACTTAGCTTTACCGTTTTCCTTTAGCAAGATTTTTTATTTTAATAGATTCATTAAAATATTCACATTCCATAAAATGAATTTTTACTCTTCTAAAGTATAAATTCAATGGTTTTCAATATATTCAGGGTTATGTACTCATTACCACAACCTAACTTTAAAACATTTTCATCACCCCTAAAGGAAACTCCATGCCTGTAAGCAGTCACTCACTCCCCATCCTCCCTTCTGTCCAACCCCTGGCAAGCATTAATCTACTTTGTGTCTCCATGGATGTGCTTATGCTGAATATTTCATGTAAATGGAATCATAAAACATGAGATCTTTTGTGACTGACTTCTACTCAGCCTATTTTTAAGCTTCATCCATGTTGTAGCATGCATGAGCACATTTTCTAATTGCTAAGTAATATTCCACTGTGTGGATACAGTACATTTGTTTATACATTCATCAGTTGATAGATCCATTTATCAGTGGAAGGGCACTGGAGTTCCTTCCATTTTTTTTGCTTATTATGAATAATGTTACTATGAACATTCTTGCACAAAGTTTTTATGGACATATATTTTCATTTCATGTGGGTATATACCAAGGAGCGGAAATGCTGGGTCATATACTAACTCTAAATTTCACCTTTTGAAGAACTGCCATTTGTTTTCCAAAGAGGCCGTATGTGTCATTTTACATTCTCACCAGCAGTGTATAAGGCTTCCAATTTCTCCACATTCCTGGCCATTTGTATATCTTCTATGGAAAAATGTCTATTCAGATTGTTAGCCCATTTTTGTAATTGGGCTATTTTTTATTATGATTGAGTTGTAACAGCTCCTTACATATTCAGGATATAAGTCCTTTATCAGAGATGTGTGCCAATATTTTCTCCTCTGTGAGTTATCTTTTCATTTTCTTGATGGTACTGTGTATAGCACAGAAGTTTTTAATTTTGATGATGTCCAGCTTGTCTATTTTTCCTCACATCACTTATACGTTTGTTGTTGCATCAAAGAAGCCTCTGCCTACCCAAGGTCATGAAGAGCTATTCCTGTATTTTGGTTTTATAGTTTCAGCTCCTACATTTAGGTCAATTAGACATTTGAGTTAATTTTTGTGTATGGTAAAAGGAAGAGGTCTAACTTTATTCTTTGGCATGTGGATGTCCAATAGCTCCAGCACAATCTATTAACCCTTTGATTTCTTTAACTACATATTTTGACTTTTTGTACTACATACATTTTTTTATTGTCACTTGAAATCCATTGTGATAGGAGATTGGTGCAAATAAACTAAATGACTTAAAATAATCATTTGACCATGGTCAAATGGCTAGTAAGTGGCAGAGCTGGACTGAACCACAGATCTTACAATGCCAAATTTCATGTTTTTTTTAGAACATATTACTGCCTTCTATGTAAACATGCTTCAGATTTATTCATCAAAGATAAGAAAAGGCAAGCTTGAAATTATATTTGGTTATATAAGGAATGACTGGAAATACTAAGCACTCAATTTGTGTAAGGAACTGTTTTAAACAGTGTATCATCTTTATTCATCACAATAATCTTAAAGAATAAAAACAAGTGTAAAAAAAAAAGAAATAAAAGAAAAACAACTATCTACCCTACTCCCTCTTCTTCCCACAGATGAGGAAACTAAGGCATAAAGGTGTTAAGTAAATTGCTCAAGATCACAGAGTTGGTAAGCGGTAAGAATGCAGGCAATCTGGCTCCCAAGACCGTGTTCTTCTTAACCACTTTGAAAGCAGATTACTTAAGAGGAAAGCATTCACCAGGCTATGCTTAGATGGATCAGCAACTGTCTAGAAAGGGAGAGTTAGCTCTTTTTATTATTGCCATTGCTGACTCAAGCTTGTCATGATGGCTGACACTTCAAAAAGGGAAATCATTAATACACTAGAATCAGGTATAAAAAAATCTTATTAAGTGTCCGTGATTAACTGAAGAAATAATCTCATCAAAAAAATTTTTTTAATGTTTACTTATTTTTGACAAAGAGAGAGTGAGAGAATGAGCGTGTGAGCTTCGGCGGGGGGGGCAGGGGGGCGGGCAGAGAGAGAGATACAGAATCCGAAGCAGGCTCCAGGCTCCGAGCTGTCAGCACAGAGCCTGACGTGGGGCTCGAACTCATGAACCGTGAGATCATGACCTGAGCTGAAGTCAGACACTTAACCAACTGAGCCACCCGGGCACCCCAGAAATAATCTCATTTTAAAAACAGAAAAATATTTAACAGCAGTGTGGCACAACTAAAGACAAAAACTAATAATATAAATACCAGAAGGGAAAGGAAAGGCCAGTACAAATACAAAGGAAGGAACTCTGGAAGTCTCCAATGACTACAAAACAAATGAGTCAACCAGGCAGTGTTGTGACCGGATGTGGTGGAAAGATGCATAATACAAAAGGGTTAGAGAGAAATCGTTCTTTTACGCATATGTCAGTGAGATCCCTAGTAGAATGTGGATACCGCTTTTGGTTACCATACTTCAAGAACTATGGGGAGAAATCAAAAGGGTTTGAACAAGAGAAATAAAACAGATGCAAACAATAGGAAACAGTACTTGTTAGAAAAAGAAGAACTTGCAGCTTATCAAAGATAGTAAAGGTTGATTTAATTATAGTCCTTTGAGAAGAAGACCATTTTCCAATGGGCTCTTCCCCAAACTCCGAAGGATTTGGATCTTTCCAGTCATTTATTTCTCAAATATCACTTTCTTAGAGGCTTTTATTCTAAGTAGCTTCCTCAGTTTCTAGCACATTGCTCTGTTTTATTCTTTTCACAGCATGTAATTATCTGAAAATCTCACTGTTTTCATGCATATATGGCCCCTCTTGTCCCGTTAGGATGTAAGCTGTTCAAGAGCAAAAACCTTAAGCACTGCTTTATGTCTTGTACATACTTTTTATGTCTGGTATATCTGGGAAGTAGTATTTTATAAATACTTGTAGAATCTATATCTATGAAACAGTAACAAGGAAAATGAGCTTTCAAATCAGAGATGGCAGCTACCAGTAAAACATAGGAGGAGTTCCTTAATAATCAAAGTAAAACGATGCTGTGGGCCTATAAGAAGTCACTCAATCTGTCTTAGGTATCTTACAAACTCACCTGCCTTAAGGCTAAATAATTTCTAGTGGTTACTCCCAACTCTTATGAGTCAGTACTCTGCAGCATGAAATATTGCAAGAAATAATCATTGAGTTCCTACCATGTACTGAACAGTGTTCTAAGGCTTTACACATATCAGATCATTTAGTCCTGACAATTATCTGAGATAAATTCTGTTCTTTTCTTCATAAAATGGAGGCTCTTTAGCTTAAAGAGATTAAGTAATTTGCCCAAAGTTATCTACCCTGCTCCTAAGTATTGGAGCTGGGATTTAAACCAAGATAATCACATAACTTATGCCATTCATTTAAGGCTGAAATAAATTTAAACAAAGCAAAAGTATATTAAACAGGAAACAATGGATTGATAAATTATGGCACAGAAGTTGGATGACAGGGATTTTCTTCTCTATGGTTTGATACGCTTGCTATGCGGATCCTTTCAAATTCTATTTTGCTGTAACATTCCAACACATTTTAGGGTTATTGTTAATATACTATTTTTCCCCTTGTAAGTATGTCTTTATTAAAAAATATATTTAAAATGAAGCACTCATGTCAAACTAGAGAAACAATATAATAAACCTCCATGTATTGACATATCTTAAATAATTAACAACACATGGACAATCTTGTTTCATGTATAGTGTAAATACACAAAAACTGACTCACTTCAAAGGAAATCCCAGTATGTTATTAACAAGTCTTTATCTCTGAAAAGACTTCATTAAATCTGAAATGCATCTAATTCCTTTCTTTCAAGTAGACTCACTTGGATTCAAGGAACAATCCTAAGAGGGGATTTTCATTATCAAAAAGAAAACCAATGGACATTGCCAAAAATAATTTCTCAAAAATTACTAGTCTCTAAGTGATGTGCATTTAGAAATATGATTATCTTAGGCACTATATTATACCAAGAACTAAATTTGAATTAGAAAATGTTTTATAAAGGGGGCGCCTGGGTGGCTCAGTCAGTTAAGCTTCCGACTTCAACTTGGGTCATGATCTCATGCTTTGTGGGTTCCAGCCCCATGTCAGGCTTTGTGCTGACAGCATGGATCCTGCTTCAGATTCTCAGTTTCCCTCTCTCTCTGCCCCACCCCTGCCCCTCCCTCTCTCTCAAAAATAAACACATAAAAAAAATAAAAAAAAAAAAAAAAAATGTTTAATAAGTTTTAAGAAAAAATTAACTAGGGATTTTGTGCCTATCATGCTGATAAATATTATCTCCAAATTACATGAGAGACCAACAAATACAAAAGTAGAAACAATTAAATACCAATATATACCTGTTTGTCTCCCAGGTCAGGGTCCCCTTTACTAGAATCAGAACTGACATCATCTTCGTCAGAACTGTTGAGGTCTTCTTCCTCATCTGAAGGAAGTTCACCAAGACCAAGGTCAAGATCATTGTGTCCCTCCTGGGATGTTCCAGAACTGTTTCAATAGAAAGTATTGCATTAGTCACCTTTAATAACAAGGAATACTACCAAAAAACAAACATGATCAACCATCTTATTCCAGGTATACCTAAGGGATGTAAACACAGGGATGGAAATAGCCAGACCAACCAAAATTCCCCTCTCTTTCCTATCTCAGCTGTCAAAAACACAAACTCATCTTGAGATTAAAATAAACATCTTGAAAAACATGTATCTTCATGATAGGAAGGTGGCTGAGAAGCAAGTTTTCTAGCTGCCCTAATCCTATGCTTCCATATCTCCTTACTCGAAAAGATCAGGTCTCTCTAACCCTATAAACCAAGAAGGCTCATGGGATATGGACTGTATTACCACAAAAGGGCACTCACTGGCAAAACAGGAACATTAGAAAAGGTGGTGTTTCCCTGGGTCTCAGTTTTTGTTTATTTGTTTGTTTGTTTTAAAGCAACTAATAAATCTACCAGAATTGGGAGGTAATGACGGTGAACACAATAAACCATGCATGTGCTATTATGAACATGTGCCCAACCTCCCTGATTATCACCAATTCCTTTTATGTAACCACATCGTAAGACATGGGAAGGGACAAGGATGTTAAAAATTCTTGGGCTCTGATCCAGACCTGCTAAATCAGAAACTCTAGGGGTGCAGGGCCCCTAGGAGATACATGTTGGAAGTTTGAAAACCACTGTACCAGCTCATTTACCAACTCTGCCTCGCCAGCCTGACGTCATCAACATTTCCCATTTTGTATTGAGACAGATCTCTTGAATCTAAGAGCTATTGTTGCAATCCAGTCTGTAGGGGGGAATTCCACAGCAAAGTTCTCCAGGAAGACAACAGAAATAATTCTTTCTAACTTTGGTTGTAAAGGCTCAGGAAGAAATTATCTGTAGCAACTGCTTTCCTGTCTGCAGTCTATAAGAATATCTGCAGAAGAGTCAGTAAAAGATCACAGAAAATCATCAGGAGAAACATTCACACGGAATAAAGAGAGTTGCATTTCACCCTGGCAGGCCCCTTTACAGATCAAGGTCAGGTCATTCAACTGCCAAGGCTCCTACAAGTTATGAAAATTTCTAACAGGAATCTTAAAAGCTAAAGATGAATTTTCTGCCAGTTCCTGATTACACATTGTAGGATACAGACTAGCCTCAGATGCCATTCCTGGAACTCAAATGTTACACAAACCAGTTGGGTGAAGGCAGAATGCCAAAAGGAACACCTCCCTCTGCCAAAGACAGGGGTTCCTTATTATTCAGTAGCTAGGTGGGTGCGCGCCTTATCATAGCTCCCCATGACATGGAGGAGACTCACTCTCTAGGGAGGAGGTGGGGGTGGAGAATGGAAGCTTTCTAGTCAGATCACTGGCAAGATTCACTGTCTCTGGTTGCAGGGACAGGAGCCCAACCCAGCTGGGTAATTAGGTGATTTAAATTAGCTAGCATAAAATAAAGTTAACAGGATGCAGAGACTGCAGGATCCATCCATATAAATAAAAGAAAACGTACCTTCACTTTTTTTAAAAAAAATTTTTTTCAACGTTTATTTATTTTTGGGACAGAGAGAGACAGAGCATGAACGGGGGAGGGGCAGAGAGAGAGGGAGACACAGAATCGGAAACAGGCTCCAGGCTCTGAGCCATCAGTCCAGAGCCCGACGCGGGGCTCGAACTCACGGACCGCGAGATCGTGACCTGGCTGAAGTCGGACGCCTAACCAACTGCGCCACCCAGGCGCCCCCCTTCACTTCTTTTTATCTTAATTCTTTATCTTTCGTCCTCTAAAACCCTGTTACTCATAAACATATTCAATCTATGACCAGCTTCAGCATCACCAGGAAGCTTTTCAGAAATATAAAGCCTTAGGCCTCACCCTGCTGCAATGAATCACAGTCTGGTTATAACAAGATCCCAGTAATTTGGTTTTTTGAATCAGTGCACTCTTTTAGACTCAACAGTATCAAAATTTTGAATAATCAGTAACAGAGCTTGTAGCACCTGTGAGGAAATTAGGTTTACTTTGTCTGAAGAGAGAGCTGAGAGGTGCTTCCTGGTCCAACATTTGGAAAGCCATTATTAAGAATACAGTAGGAAGCTAGTAGCCACAATTGTTAGGGATATAAATATTTACAACAGTTAATTTAAGGACAAGAAAAAAAAAAGCTTTAAGTATTAAAAGGACATGGATCAAAACATAACTGCCATAAAATGTTGGGAGTTGTTAGTTCTGAAAGTTGCTTTCCTACAGAAAACCTTCCCTGACCAAGCCCTCCCTAACCACATTGGTTTACTTGTCTCTTCTGAATCCTACACCATCTCATTCAACTGCACATGGTGATATATTTGTTTCCCTCCCTAAAATGTAAACTCCTAAGGACAAGAAAATGGTCTTTTTCAGCTGAACCCCCAGGATCCTGCTTGACACATAATGGGCCCTCAGTAAATTTTTAGTGAGTAAACAAAAATTATATTAGAAAGCAAAGAGTGTCAAATTTCAGACGTTCAGACGGTAAGTATTTATGGTAGTGATCATAAAGAAAGGTTTGGGGGGGAATACTGGAATAGTGTATGGTTTAAAGGAGAAGGGGCATCCTAAGCATCATACTCAAAGGTGTGGAAGTGGGAATATTTGTTTTCAGAAAACAAAAAGAACATTCAGGCTGCAGCAGGAGTCTCCTACACATAATGGAAAACAAGCCTGGAGAAGATAACAGGTACTAGCCTGTCAAGGGTCATGAACAATAGCAGAGTCCATACTCAGCTTGTAGGCCTTCAACAAGAAGACTCAAATCTTCCAGTAGACCTCAAAGATTTCCTTAATCCATACTTCTCTCCCATTAATGACAACAGAAAAGAGAACAACATCCCTTCCATCAACCCAGGCCTGTAGGCCCAGCCCATGCCCCAGTCCCCCCACCCAAACAGTGAAAAGGATAGCCCTAATTAGCATCAGTGAGGTCCCCCTGATCTCAAAAGATTAAATTGAAGTAAAAGGAGCTCCCTATATATCTGGATAGTAAATGGTAGACCATTTACAATTTCTGAAGCTTGCAAGGGAGGAATGTGAGCAAAGCAAAGCAAAGCAAGGTTTTAGGAAGACTAATCTTGTAACTCAATGGGGGCTGAATGGGGCGGGCACAGGGACAGAAGTGGATAGGGATCTGAGAGGTAATTTCAACAGTATAGACAGCCTGAATGAGGTTGGCTACATCAGGAATTAAGAGGAAGGGCTAGATATAAGAGTTAAAAACTTCATCAGGGCTCTGGTAAAGAGGTAGGGGAAAAACCGGAGTCTTCCTTCAAGTCACCAGCAAAATGAGGGGGACATCAATTGAAACAGAAATTTCTTAACAAGGGATATGATTTTAAAGAAAAGATAACGGGTTTGGCAGCAAAATCAGGAAAGATGGCATTTAGCATCCATATTTACACGTTTGTGTCTACATGTTCAAACAGAGAAAAGTTGTTGATTCATTTATTTTCCTACATAATTCTTAGCAGCTTTCAAATCTATATAGATAACTTTAGATCTCAGATAATGAAATATGGACTTCTTACTGATGCCAGTCATTGAGTTGGGGCTCATCTATTCTTTACATTTCCTTCCCACTGTCAGGAAGATATCGTCCTAACACTGTCAGCCTTGCGGGTTAAAGGAACAGGACATAGTGTTTCCTCCACAATTTCCTGCCTGGTTATTTCACAATTTGATAATCGAAGTAAAAGGAAAGTAAGCTGCAAACACAACCCAAAAAGAATCAAGACTGGGCTCTACCTCCCCAGGCCATCCTTTCCAAGTCTGGATGAGGTAAGGGCAGAGAAAAGTAAAGCCAGAAGTAAATTCCCACTGATTAGGCAGCTGTCTTCAATTCCACACGTCAAGGATCTACATACACATTTGGATCTGCACATCTGATTACTTAACGCCATCACTTTTTAAAAAATTACGTATTTTGGGGGGCACCTGGGTGGCTCAGTTGGTTGAGCATTCGACTCTTCATTTCAGCTCAGGCCATGATCTCATGGTTCGTGGGTTCAAGCCCCAAGTCAGGCTCTGTGCTTATAGTATGGGGCCTGCTTGCGATTCTCTCTACCCCTACCCCAATCACACTCACTCTCTCAAAAATAAACTGTAAAAACAATTTTTTTTAATTATGTATTTTTTATGTTATTTGCTATATAGGCACAGTACACCCTCCCCTGTAAGTACATGAAATTTCTCTTTTAGGTAAGATATCACACGAAGGAGGGTTTCTCTTTTAGAAGGAACTGTCTCTTTAAAAAGACTCATTTGGGGCGCCTGGGTGGCGCAGTCGGTTGAGCGTCCGACTTCAGCCAGGTCACGATCTCGCGGTCCGTGAGTTCGAGCCCCGCGTCAGGCTCTGGGCTGATGGCTCAGAGCTTGGAGCCTGTTTCCGATTCTGTGTCTCCCTCTCTCTCTGCCCCTCCCCCGTTCATACTCTGTCTCTCTCTGTCCCAAAAATAAATAAACATTGAAAAAAAAATTAAAAAAAAAAAAAAAAAAAAGACTCATTTAATCTATCTCCCCTAAGAGTTTTTCAGAACATAAAACTGCACAAGGCTGAGCCAGACATCACCAACAAAACATCCCTGTGAACCTCCATTAACCTGAAAAATTCCAGCAAAGGGAGGGGAGAACAAGGAGAACAGAGAAAGGAAAAGAAGCACAGTGAACTGAGGAGCACTTTCAAAGCATTGAATCCTGTCCTCTTTGTTGATGAATCTAGTTATCTTCTTCCTCTCTTATCTGAGCCCCCAAAACATAGAATGTTCCATGTAATTCCTCCTAAACTTGAAGAAAAAGGTTATTCCAGTGTCCTCACCTTCAAAGTTTCTTTCTAATTTTCAAGTCACAACATGTAAATCTGAACTTCTGAGATCTTTCTCTTCCTCTTTCTACCACTCCTGGACCAAACTGAGCAGAACCTGCTAGTCCTCAGGATGTTGTTATAATTCTCCTACAAATGCTGTCT